GCGTGTCCAGGGAAGGGCCCCGGAGCTGGGGAAGGGGCTGGAGCAGAAGGAGAAGGGGCTGGAGAACTTGTGAGGAGCAGCTGAGGGAGCTGGGGGTGTTGAGCCTGGAGCAAAGGAGGCTGAGGGGAGACCTGGCTCTGCAGCTGCCTGAGAGGAGGTTGGAGCCAGGGGGGTCGGGCTCTGCTCCCCAGGAACAAGGGACAGGACAAGAGGGAACGGCCTCAAGTTGTGCCAGGGGAGGTTGAGGTTGGATCTGGGGAACAATTCCTGCCTGGCAAGGGTTGTCAGGGCCTGGCCCAGGCTGCCCAGGGCAGGGGGGGAGTCCCCATCCCTGGGGGGGTTTCCAAGCCCTGCAGATGGTGCTGAGGGACACGGGGCAGGGGTGGCCTTGGCAGGGCTGGGGGCACAGTTGGACTGGGTGATCTTAGAGGTCTCTTCAATCCAGGGTGGTTCTGTGGTTCCATGACTCTGCAGGACGTGGCCTCTGCACTGTCCCCTGTCCCTGCCCACCCTGGCCCAGCCCCAGCAGCCGGGTGACACTGTCTGGGGACAGTGTTGGGTGCAGAGCAGGGCCCGTGCGTGTCCCTGAGCCACCCGGGGCTGCAGACCCACAGGTGTGCCCAGAGATCAGGGCTTGGGGAGCTCGTGGTGGCTCCAGGAAAATCCCAGCTTTTCCCTCCAGCAAGGGCACTGCTGCCTCCAGCTGTTTGTCCCCACAGGCCTGGCACAGCCCTGGAGTGTCCTGGAGGTGCCTCCAGCCCCCCTGACCCTCCTCTTGTCTCTGCAGGGAGCGGGGATGGGCAGGGGCAGATCCTGCAGCGCTTCCCGGAGAAGGACTGGGAGGACAACCCCTTCCCCCAGGGCATCGAGCTGGTGAGTGTGTGTGTGTCCCTGGGAACCCTGGCACTGCGGGGTGGGTGGCACCAGGGCACGGGGTGCAGGTCCCACTGGGTGCTGAGCCCTGCAGGTCCCACTGGGTGCTGAGCCCTGCAGGTCCCGCTGAGTGCTGAGCCCTGCAGGTCCCGCTGGGTGCTGAGCCCTGCAGGTCCCGCTGAGTGCTGAGCCCTGCAGGTCCCGCTGGGTGCTGAGCCCTGCAGGTCCCGCTGGGTGCTGAGCCCTGCAGGCAGGGGTCCCATCTCCCCCCTCCCCGGCACAGCTCCAGCTCTGGAAACCCACAGCATCCAGCAGGGCTGGGGCAGAGCTGCCCTGAGGGGGTGGCTGCTGTGGCTGCTCTGGGGAGGGCTCTTCTGGCCACTGCTCCTGCTCCTTCTCTGGAAACATGGAATGGTTTGGGTTGGAGGGACCCTAAAGCCCACCCAGTCCCACCCCCATGGGCAGGGACACCTCCCAGCAGCCCAGGCTGCTCCAAGCCCCATCCAACCTGCCCTTCAACACCCCCAGGGATGGGGC